TAAAAAATATTTTTTCAAGGACCAAACACAGGCGTAGATTTTTAAAAATATTGTTTCAAGGACCAAATACAGGCGTGGATTTTTAAATAATATTTTATCAAGGACCAAACACAGGCGTGGATTTTTAAAAATATTTTTTCAAGGACCAAACACAGGCGTGGATTTTTAAAAAATATGTTTTCAAGGACCAAACACAGGCGTAGATTTTTAAAAATATTGTTTCAAGGACCAAACACAGGCGTAGATTTTAAAAATATTGTTTCAAGGACCAAACACAGGCGTGGATTTTTAAATAATATTTTTTCAAGGACCAAACACAGGCGTGGATTTTTAAAAATATTTTTTCAAGGACCAAACACAGGCGTGGATTTTTAAAAATATTTTTTCAAGGACCAAACCCAGGCGTGGATTTTTTTAAAAAGTATTTTTTCAAGGACCAAATACAGGCGTGGATTTTTTTAAAAAATATTTTTTCAAGGACCAAATACAGGCGTGGATTTTTTAAAAAATATTTTTTCAAGGACCAAATACAGGCGTGGATTTTTTAAAAAATATTTTTTCAAGGACCAAATACAGGCGTGGATTTTTTAAAAAATATTTTTTCAAGGACCAAATACAGGCGTGGATTTTATTGAAAGTATTTTTTAAGGACCAAATTCAGGCGTGGATTTTTTTAAAAAATATTTTTTCAAGGACCAAATACAGGCGTGGATTTTTTTAAAAAATATTTTTTCAAGGACCAAATACAGGCGTGGATTTTTTTAAAAAATATTTTTTCAAGGACCAAATACAGGCGTGGATTTTTTTAAAAAATATTTTTTCAAGGACCAAATACAGGCGTGGATTTTTTAAAAAATATTTTTTAAGGACCAAATACAGGCGTGGATTTTTTAAAAAAATATTTTTTCAAGGACCAAACCCAGGCGTGGATTTTATTAAAAGTATTTTTTAAGGACCAAATACAGGCGTGGATTTTTTTAAAAAATATTTTTTCAAGGACCAAACACAGGCGTGGATTTTTTTAAAAAATATTTTTTCAAGGACCAAACACAGGCGTGCATTTTTTAAAGAATATTTTTTCAAGGACCAAACACAGGCGTGGATTTTTTAAAAAATATTTTTTCAAGGACCAAACATAGGCGTGGATTTTTTAAAGAATATTTTTTTCAAGCACCAAACACAGGCGTGGATTTTTTAAAGAATATTTTTTCAAGGACCAAACACAGGCGTGGATTTTTTTAAAAATATTTTTTCAAGGACCAAACATAGGCGTGGATTTTTTAAAGAATATTTTTTTCAAGCACCAAACACAGGCGTGGATTTTTTAAAGAATATTTTTTCAAGGACCAAACACAGGCGTGGATTTTTTTAAAAATATTTTTTAAAGAATATTTTTCAAGGACCTCCCATATGCGTGGGTTTTATTAAAAACCCACAGGCGTGGATTTTTTAAAAAATATTTTTTCAAGGACCAAACACTGGCGTGGATTTTTTAAAGAATATTTTTTCAAGGACCAAACACAGGCGTGGATTTTTTTAAAAATATTTTTTAAAGAATATTTTTTCAAGGACCTCCCATATGCGTGGGTTTTATTAAAAACCCACAGGCGTGGATTTTTTAAAAAATATTTTTTCAAGGACCAAACACAGGCGTGGATTTTTTTAAAAATATTTTTTAAAGAATATTTTTCAAGGACCTCCCATATGCGTGGGTTTTATTAAAAACCCACAGGCGTGGATTTTTTAAAAAATATTTTTTCAAGGACCAAACACAGGCGTGGATTTTTTTAAAAAATATTTTTTCAAGGACCAAACACAGGCGTGCATTTTTTAAAGAATATTTTTTCAAGGACCAAACACAGGCGTGGATTTTTTTAAAAATATTTTTTAAAGAATATTTTTTCAAGGACCTCCCATATGCGTGGGTTTTATTAAAAACCCACAGGCGTGGATTTTTTAAAAAATATTTTTTCAAGGACCAAACACAGGCGTGGATTTTTTTAAAAATATTTTTTAAAGAATATTTTTCAAGGACCTCCCATATGCGTGGGTTTTATTAAAAACCCACAGGCGTGGATTTTTTAAAAAATATTTTTTCAAGGACCAAACACAGGCGTGGATTTTTTTAAAAAATATTTTTTCAAGGACCAAACACAGGCGTGCATTTTTTAAAGAATATTTTTTCAAGGACCAAACACAGGCGTGGATTTTTTTAAAAATATTTTTAAAGAATATTTTTTCAAGGACCTCCCATATGCGTGGGTTTTATTAAAAACCCACAGGCGTGGATTTTTTAAAAAATATTTTTTCAAGGACCAAACACAGGCGTGGATTTTTTTTAAAAATATTTTTTAAAGAATATTTTTCAAGGACCTCCCATATGCGTGGGTTTTATTAAAAACCCACAGGCGTGGATTTTTTAAAAAATATTTTTTCAAGGACCAAACACAGGCGTGGATTTTTTTAAAAATATTTTTTAAAGAATATTTTTTCAAGGACCTCCCATATGCGTGGGTTTTATTAAAAACCCACAGGCGTGGATTTTTTAAAAAATATTTTTTCAAGGACCAAACACAGGCGTGGATTTTTTTAAAAAATATTTTTTCAAGGACCAAACACAGGCGTGCATTTTTTAAAGAATATTTTTTCAAGGACCAAACACAGGCGTGGATTTTTTAAAAAATATTTTTTCAAGGACCAAACATAGGCGTGGATTTTTTAAAGAATATTTTTTTCAAGCACCAAACACAGGCGTGCATTTTTTAAAGAATATTTTTTCAAGGACCAAACACAGGCGTGGATTTTTTAAAAAATATTTTTTCAAGGACAAAACATAGGCGTGGATTTTTTAAAGAATATTTTTTTCAAGCACCAAACACAGGCGTGGATTTTTTAAAGAATATTTTTTCAAGGACCAAACACAGGCGTGGATTTTTTTAAAAATATTTTTTAAAGAATATTTTTCAAGGACCTCCCATATGCGTGGGTTTTATTAAAAACCCAGAGGCGTGGATTTTTTAAAGAATATTTTTTCAAGGACCAAACACAGGCGTGGATTTTTTTAAAAATATTTTTAAAGAATATTTTTTCAAGGACCTCCCATATGCGTGGGTTTTATTAAAAACCCACAGGCGTGGATTTTTTAAAAAATATTTTTTCAAGGACCAAACACAGGCGTGGATTTTTTAAAGAATATTTTTTCAAGGACCTCCCATATGCGTGGGTTTTATTAAAAACCCACAGGCGTGGATTTTTTAAAAAATATTTTTTCAAGGACCAAACACAGGCGTGGATTTTTTAAAGAATATTTTTCAAGGACCAAACACAGGCGTGGATTTTTTTAAAAATATTTTTTCAAGGACCAAACATAGGCGTGGATTTTTTAAAGAATATTTTTTCAAGGACCAAACACAGGCGTGGATTTTTTTAAAAATATTTTTTCAAGGACCAAACATAGGCGTGGATTTTTTAAAGAATATTTTTTCAAGGACCAAACACAGGCGTGGATTTTTTTAAAAATATTTTTTCAAGGACCAAACATAGGCGTGGATTTTTTAAAGAATATTTTTTCAAGGACCAAACACAGGCGTGGATTTTTTTAAAAATATTTTTTAAAGAATATTTTTTCAAGGACCAAACACAGGCGTGGATTTTTTTAAAAATATTTTTTAAAGAATATTTTTTCAAGGACCTCCATATGCGTGGGTTTTATTAAAAACCCAGAGGCGTGGATTTTTTAAAAAATATTTTTTCAAGGACCAAACACAGGTGTGGATTTTTTAAAAAATATTTTTTTCAAGAACCAAACACAGGCTTGAATTTTTTTAAAAATATTTTATAAGGACCAAACACAGTCGTGGATTTTTTAAAGAATATTTTTTCAACGATTAATTGAGGCGTGGATTTTTTAAAGAATATTTATTCAAGGATTAATTGAGGCGTGGATTTTTTAACGAATATTTTTTCAAGGATTAATTGAGGCGTGGATTTTTTAAAGATATTTTTTTAAGGATTAATTAAGGCGTGGATTTTTTAACGAATATTTTTTCAAGGATTAATTGAGGCGTGGATTTTTTAAAGAATATTTTTTCAAGGATTAATTGAGGCGTGGATTTTTTAAAGAATATTTTTTCAAGGATTAATTAAGGCGTGGATTTTTTAACGAATATTTTTTTAAGGATTAATTGAGGCGTGGATTTTTTAACGAATATTTTTTCAAGGATTAATTGAGGCGTGGATTTTTTAACGAATATTTTTTCAAGGATTAATTGAGGCGTGGATTTTTTAACGAATATTTTTTTAAGGATTAATTAAGGCGTGGATTTTTTAACGAATATTTTTTCAAGGATTAATTGAGGCGTGGATTTTTTAACGAATATTTTTTCAAGGATTAATTGAGGCGTGGATTTTTTAACGAATATTTTTTCAAGGATTAATTAAGGCGTGGATTTTTTAAAGAATATTTTTTTAAGGATTAATTAAGGCGTGGATTTTTTAACGAATATTTTTTCAAGGATTAATTGAGGCGTGGATTTTTTAACGAATATTTTTTCAAGGATTAATTGAGGCGTGGATTTTTTAACGAATATTTTTTCAAGGATTAATTGAGGCGTGGATTTTTTAAAGAATATTTTTTTAAGGATTAATTAAGGCGTGGATTTTTTAACGAATATTTTTTCAAGGATTAATTGAGGCGTGGATTTTTTTAACGAATATTTTTTCAAAGATTAATTGAGGCGTGGATTTTTTAAAGAATATTTATTCAAGGATCTCCCATAGGCATGGATTTTTTAAAAATATTTTTTCAAGGACCTCCCATAGGCTTGGACTTTTTAAAAATATTTTTTCAAGGACCTCCCATAGGCTTGGACTTTTTAAAAATATTTTTTCAAGGACCTTCCACTAAGACGTGGATTTTTTAAAAATATTTTTTCAAGGACCTTCCACTAAGACGTGGTATTTTTAAAGAATATTTTCCTCATTTATTAAAAAATCGACAATAAAATTGTGCGACATCGACAATTTTTATTTTTCTCTTTTTAATACAACTGACATTCCTTAACACTAATGTGCTTGGTTTTCATACCCTGGTTCGTGGTCCGTATCCTTCCTGTCGATTTGAAATACCTAAAACAATGCTTGGTCAGGTCGATTATGAAAAAATACAAAAATTCGATGATTCCAATGAGGGAACAACCCATGCATAGGCCGGCCAAACCACCAAAAGAGGCTAAAGTAGAGAAATAATATTAGACTCTCTCCGTCTCACAAAAATCTTATGGCAAGAGGATTCCTACCCATCAAATCGAACAAGGTATACACCGGTTTCGTTTGATACACCATAATTGTGTCCGAGAGGAAAAACACCGCCAACTCAATCCGGCTGTCGTTGTGTTCCAGCTCAAGCTCGGGTATATTTCGTACCCGAAAATCGCTCAGATAACGCAACGATTTGCAGTTCATGAAACAGGGACAGTACATGCCGCCCCGTGAGAATTTTACAAAATCCATTTCACCAATTTGCTCGAAGACCTTTAGTTTTTCTGGGATGAAAAGAAACAAAAAATGGAAATTAATTGGCAAAGTGAAGGATATTTAAGGTTCACCATCATTCCGATATAGACATGGCAGGTCCTTGAGACGACAAGGGGGAAAACGTGCCGGCGGGTAGAATAGGTCCACGGTACAATTGCAAAATTTCATGGTGTACTCCTGTTCACATTGGGCCTGGCAATTTTCGTACATGTATTTGCGTTTTGGCAGAGATTTGTAGTAGAGGCTGCTGAGTTCGTCCTGAAAATATTAAAAAGCAACAGTTCTGAAAAATTATTTTTAAAAACTACCCATTTATTTGTGACCTTTGAAAAATATTTTTAAAAAATATCCATTTATTAGGGGCCCTTGAAAAAATATTTTTAAAAAATCCATGTTTAGTGTTGGCCCCTCAAGAATTATTTTTTAAAAAATCCACGTTTATGGATGAGCCGTGAAAAAATATTTTTAAAAAATCCACGTTTATGTATGAGCCTTGAAAAAATATTTTTAAAACATCCACGATGGGTGATAGTCCTTGAAAAAATATTTTAAAAAGTCCACATTTACTTATGAGCCTTGAAAAATATTTTTAAAAAATCCACGTTTATGTATGAGCCTCGAAAAATATTTTTAAAAAATCCACGTTTTTGTAAGAGCCTTGAAAAATATTTTTAAAAAAATCCACGTTTATATATCGACCTTTGAAAAATATTTTTAAAAAATCCACGTTTTTGTAAGAGCCTTGAAAAATATTTTTAAAAAATCCACGTTTATGTATCGACTTTTGAAAAATATTTTTAAAAAATCCACGTTTATGTATCGACCTTTGAAAAATATTTTTAAAAAATCTACGTTTTTGTAAGAGCCTTGAAAAATATTTTTAAAAAATCCACGTTTTTGTAAGAGCCTTGAAAAATATTTTTAAAAAATCCACGTTTTTGTAAGAGCCTTGAAAAATATTTTTAAAAAATCCACGTTTTTGTAAGAGCCTTGAAAAATATTTATAAAAAATCCAAGTTTTTGTAAGAGCCTTGAAAAATATTTTTAAAAAATCCACGTTTTTGTAAGAGCCTTGAAAAATATTTTTAAAAAATCCACGTTTATGTATCGAACTTTGAAAAATATTTTTAAAAAATCCACGTTTATGTAAGAGCCTTGAAAAATATTTTTAAAAAATCCACGTTTATGTCAGAGCCTTGAAAATTATTTTTAAAAAATCCACGTTTATGTAAGAGCCTTGAGAAATATTTTTAAAAAATCCACGTTTATGTAAGAGCCTTGAAAAATATTTTTAAAAAAGCCACGTTTATGTAATAGCCTTGAAAAATATTTTTAAAAAATCCACGTTTATGTATGAACCTTGAAAAAATATTTTTAAAAAATCCACATTTATTGGTGGATCTTGAAAAAATATTTTTAAAAAATCCACATTTATTGGTGGATCTTGAAAAATATTTTTAAAAAATCCACGTTTAATGCTAAGCCTTGAAAAAAATATTTTTAAAAAATCCACATTTATTGGTGGATCTTGAAAAAATATTTTTAAAAAATCCACATTTATTGGTGGATCTTGAAAAATATTTTTAAAAAATCCACGTTTAATGCTAAGCCTTGAAAAAAATATTTTTAAAAAATCCACATTTATTGGTGGATCTTGAAAAAATATTTTTAAAAAATCCACATTTATTGGTGGATCTTGAAAAATATTTTTAAAAAATCCACGTTTAATGCTAAGCCTTGAAAAAAATATTTTTAAAAAATCCACGTTTAATGCTAAGCCTTGAAAAAAATATTTTTAAAAAATCCACGTTTAATGCTAAGCCTTGAAAAAAATATTTTTAAAAAATCCACGTTTATTGTTGGCCCTTGAGAAAATATTTTTAAAAAATCCACGTTTATGGATGGGCCTTGAAAAAATATTTTTAAAAAATCTACGTTTATTTGTGGACATTAAAAAAACATTTTAAAAATCCACGTTTATGGATGAGCCTTTGAAAAAATATTTTTAAAAAATCCACGTCCATGTATGAGCCTTGAAAAAATATTTTTAAAAATCCACGTTTATGGATGGGCCTTGAAAAAATATTTTTAAAAAATCCACGTTTATGGATGGGCCTTGAAAAAATATTTTTAAAAAATCTACGTTTATTTGTGGACATTAAAAAAATATTTTTAAAAAATCCACATTTATTGGTGGATCTTGAAAAAATATTTTAAAAAAATCCACATTTATTGGTGGATCTTGAAAAAATATTTTAAAAAAATCCACATTTATTGGTGGATCTTGAAAAATATTTTTAAAAAATCCACGTGTATGTATGAACCTTGAAAAAATATTTTTAAAAAATCCACATTTATTGGTGGATCTTGAAAAAATATTTTTAAAAAATCCACATTTATTGGTGGATCTTGAAAAATATTTTTAAAAAATCCACGTTTAATGCTAAGCCTTGAAAAAAATATTTTTAAAAAATCCACATTTATTGGTGGATCTTGAAAAAATATTTTTAAAAAATCCACATTTATTGGTGGATCTTGAAAAATATTTTTAAAAAATCCACGTTTAATGCTAAGCCTTGAAAAAAATATTTTTAAAAAATCCACGTTTAATGCTAAGCCTTGAAAAAAATATTTTTAAAAAATCCACGTTTAATGCTAAGCCTTGAAAAAAATATTTTTAAAAAATCCACGTTTATTGTTGGCCCTTGAGAAAATATTTTTAAAAAATCCACGTTTATGGATGGGCCTTGAAAAAATATTTTTAAAAAATCTACGTTTATTTGTGGACATTAAAAAAACATTTTTAAAAAATCCACGTTTATGGATGGGCCTTGAAAAAATATTTTTAAAAAATCTACGTTTATTTGTGGACATTAAAAAAACATTTTTAAAAAATCCACGTTTATGGATGAGCCTTTGAAAAAATATTTTTAAAAAATCCACGTTTATATTTGGGACTTGAAAAAATATTTTTAAAAAATCCACGTTTATATTTGGGACTTGAAAAAATATTTTTAAAAAATCCACGTTTATATTTGGGACTTGAAAAAATATTTTTAAAAAGTCCACGTTTATTGGTGGCCCTTGCAAAAATATTTTTAAAAAATCTACGTTTATTTGTGGACATTAAAAAAACATTTTTAAAAAATCCACGTTTATGGATGAGCCTTTGAAAAAATATTTTAAAAAATCCACGTTTATATTTGGGACTTGAAAAAATATTTTTAAAAAATCCACGTTTATATTTGGGACTTGAAAAAATATTTTTAAAAAATCCACGTTTATATTTGGGACTTGAAAAAATATTTTTAAAAAGTCCACGTTTATTGGTGGCCCTTGCAAAAATATTTTTAAAAAATCCAGGTTTACTGTTGGCCTTTGAAAAAATATTTTTAAAAAATCCACGTTTATGGATGAGCTTTGAAAAAATATTTTTAAATAATTCACGTTTATGGAGGAGCCTTGAAAAAATATTTTTGAAAAATTCACGTTTATGGAGGAGCCTTGAAAAAATATTTTTAAAAAATCCACGTTTATGGATGAGCCTTGAAAAAATATTTTTAAAAAATCCAGGTTTTTGTAAGAGCCTAGGAAAAATATTTTTAAAAAATCCACGTTTATTGTTGGCCCTTGAAAAAATATTTTTAAAAAATCCACGTTTATTGTTAAGCCTTGAAAAAATATTTTTAAAAAATCCACGTTCATGTATGAGCCTCGAAAAATATTTTTAAAAAATCCACGTTTATGAATGAGCCTTGAAAAAATATTTTTAAAAAATCCACGTTTATGTATGAGCCTCGAAAAATATTTTTAAAAAATCCACGTTTATGGATGAGCCTTGAAAAAATATTTTTAAAAAATCCACGTTTATGTATGAGCCTTGATAAAGTATTTTTAAAAAATTCACATTTATGTATGAGCCTTGAAAAAATATTTTTAAAAAATCCACGTTTATGTATGAGCCTCGAAAAATATTTTTAAAAAATCCACGTTTATTGTTAAGCCTTGAAAAAATATTTTTAAAAAATCCACGTTTATGTATGAGCCTTGAAAAAATATTTTTAAAAAATCCACGTTTATGTAAGAGCCTTGAAAAAATATTTTTAAAAAATCCACGTTTATGTATGAGCCTTGATAAAATATTTTTAAAAAATCCACGTTTATGTATGAGCCTTGAAAAAATATTTTTAAAAAATCCACGTTTATGTATGAGCCTTGATAAAATATTTTTAAAAAATCCACGTTTATGTATGAGCCTTGAAAAAATATTTTTAAAAAATCCACGTTTATGTATCGAACTTTGAAAAATATTTTTTAAAAATCCTCGTTTTGTAAGAGCCTTGAAGAATATTTTTAAAAAATCCCCGTTTATGTAAGAGCCTTGAAAAATATTTTTAAAAAATCCACGTTTATGCAAGAGCCTTGAAAAATATTTTTAAAAAATCCACGTTTATGTATGAGCCTCGAAAAATATTTTTAAAAAATCCACGTTTATGGATGAGCCTTGAAAAAATATTTTTAAAAAATCCACGTTTCTTGGTAGGCCTAGGAAAAATATTTTTAAAAAATTCACATTTATGTATGAGCCTTGAAAAAATATTTTTAAAAAATCCACGTTTATGTATGAGCCTCGAAAAATATTTTTAAAAAATCCACGTTTATTGTTAAGCCTTGAAAAAATATTTTTAAAAAATCCACGTTTATGGATGAGCCTTGAAAAAATATTTTTAAAAAATCCACGTTTATGTATGAGCCTTGATAAAGTATTTTTAAAAAATCCACGTTTATGTATGAGCCTTGAAAAAATATTTTTAAAAAATCCACGTTTATGTATCGAACTTTGAAAAATATTTTTTAAAAATCCTCGTTTTTGTAAGAGCCTTGAAAAATATTTTTAAAAAATCCCCGTTTATGTAAGAGCCTTGAAAAATATTTTTAAAAAATCCACGTTTATGCAAGAGCCTTGAAAAATATTTTTAAAAAATCCACGTTTATGTAAGAGCCTTGAAAAATATTTTTAAAAAATCCACATTTATGTATCGACCTTTGAAAAATATTTTTAAAAAATCCACGTTTATGTATCGACCTTTGAAAAATATTTTTAAAAAATCCACGTTTATTTTTCGACCTTTGAAAAATATTTTTAAAAAATCCACGTTTATGTATCGACCTTTGAAAAATATTTTTAAAAAATCCACGTTTATGTATCGACTTTTGAAAAATATTTTTAAAAAATCCACGTTTTTGTAAGAGCCTTGAAAAATATTTTTAAAAAATCCACGTTTTTGTAAGAGCCTTGAAAAATATTTTTAAAAAATCCACGTTTATGTATCGACCCTTGAAAAATATTTTTAAAAAATCCACGTTTTTGTAAGAGCCTTGAAAAATATTTTTAAAAAATCCACGTTTATGTATCGAACTTTGAAAAATATTTTTAAAAAATCCACGTGTATGTATGAGCCTTGAAAAATATTTTTAAAAAATCCCCTTATGTAAGAGCCTTGAAAAATATTTTTAAAAAATCCACGTTTTTTTAAGAGCCTTGAAAAATATTTTTAAAAAATCCCCGTTTATGTAAGAGCCTTGAAAAATATTTTTAAAAAATCCACGTTTATGGATGAGCCTTGAAAAATATTTTTAAAAAATCCACGTTTATGTAAGAGCCTTGAAAAATATTTTTAAAAAATCCACGTTTATGTAAGAGCCTTGAAAAATATTTTTAAAAAATCCACGTTTATGTAAGAGCCTTGAAAAATATTTTTAAAAAATCTACGTTTATGTAAGAGCCTTGAAAAATATTTTTAAAAAAGCCACGTTTATGTAAGAGCCTTGAAAAATATTTTTAAAAAATCCACGTTTATGTCAGAGCCTTGAAAATTATTTTTAAAAAATCCACGTTTATTGGTGGATCTTGAAAAAATATTTTTAAAAAATCCACGTTTATTGGTGGATCTTGAAAAAATATTTTTAAAAAATCCACGTTTATTGGTGGATCTTGAAAAAATATTTTTAAAAAATCCACGTTTATTGGTGGATCTTGAAAAAATATTTTAAAAAATCCACGTTTATTGGTGGATCTTGAAAAAATATTTTTAAAAAATCCACGTTTATTGGTGGATCTTGAAAAAATATTTTTAAAAAATCCACGTTTATTGGTGGATCTTGAAAAAATATTTTTAAAAAATCCACGTTTATTGGTGGATCTTGAAAAATATTTTTAAAAAATCCACGTTTAATGCTAAGTCTTGAAAAAAATATTTTTAAAAAATCCACGTTTAATGCTAAGCCTTGAAAAAAATATTTTTAAAAAATCCACGTTTATTGATGGCCCTTGAGAAAATATTTTTAAAAAATCCACGTTTATTGATGGCCCTTGAGAAAATATTTTTAAAAAATCCACATCTATGTATCAGCCTTGAAAAAATATTTTTAAAAAATCTACGTTTATTTGTGGACATTAAAAAAACATTTTTAAAAAATCCACGTTTATGGATGAGCCTTGAAAAAATATTTTTAAAAAATCCACGTTTATGGAGGAGCCTTGAAAAAATATTTTTGAAAAATTCACGTTTATGGAGGAGCCTTGAAAAAATATTTTTAAAAAATCCGCGTTTCTTGGTAGGCCTAGGAAAAATATTTTTAAAAAATCCACGTTTATTGTTGGCCCTTGAAAAAATATTTTTAAAAAATCCACGTTTATTGTTGGCCCTTGAAAAAATATTTTTAAAAAATCCACGTTTCTTGTTAAGCCTTGAAAAAATATTTTTAAAAAATCCACGTTTATTGTTAAGCCTTGAAAAAATATTTTTAAAAAATCCACGTTTATAGGTGGCCCTGGAAAAAATATTTTTAAAAAATCGATGCCTTGAGAAAAAATTGTTAACCTTTTTTAATCCACTCTCTTTGTCCCTTTTCTGTGTCTCTCTCCCTCTCTCCCCAGATATACTCACCTCAAACACACATTGCCTTATGTCATTCGAATAGAACCTTGTGTCCGGGTGATGAGTCCTCAAAAAGGCATCTATGGATATTAATGTCCTGGTATTAGTGGGCACCTCACGATGCAGATAGGACCAAACATAGGGTTCCGTATGCATAACCTATAGAGGTATATATTTTATTTTCCGAATTCTCCAACATTCCCTCGACTTACCAAAATCCCCTTGACGTTGTGACTCAATGGCGAATGCCATCCCTCCCGAATGTGAATGTCAACATAGAGGCCACTGGATGACCCATAACCCGCCACATGCCACGGATAGTAGGGATCCAGCAGATGTTTAATGGCACCCTCTTTCGACTCGATGGTATTGAACGACAAACACAGACCCTTTTGCGACTTGCGCTGGGTAAATATTTTACAACAATCCTGGCTGGCATTCAGCCAGGAACAGTCGGAGAATATTTCATGGCATTTCCAGGCCATGAACTCAACGACTTTGGTCAAGTTGATGTAGTTCAGGTCGTCCAGCAATCGGGGATTCTCGGCCGAGAGTTCGGCCAGATGTTGCAAACTCTGGAAATGGCCAAAACGCATTGTGTCATAGGCATTGACAGCCTGGCGAAAAATCTCCTCATGCTCGTCGGTCAGATGTTCCGGTTGCAGAAATCTCTCCTTAGCCTCGTCATAACGCTGCCAGTTGAGGCGATTCTGATTGCAAATGGTAATCTCGGGAAAGGGAATTTTATAGATCGGATAATGGAGATCCGAGATGACTGTTTGCATTGGCTTATAGCGAAACACATAGGCAATGCTGGAGGTAATGCGGACATAGAAATAAATGGCCGAGAAGAAAACCAGGAATACCAAGATTCTGGAAGGCAATAAAAATATTTAGTTTTGACTCAAAATTTATTAAATCCTCCCCACTTTTCAAGCCTCGGAGAAGTCCACTGGAAAATGCGTTCCAAGCCATGGACGGTTCGTATGCGCAGAATATCATCTCTCAGACCCTTTCGCAGTCCGGCAGTGTTGGGGGGATTTTTTACGGGGTCCGCTACCCTGATGTCGGGACAAAAATCCAGCAATTTCGAATGATTTCTTCGGATATGTTTGTAGCTTTCTTCCAATAACATTTCACTGAATATTTCTACGAGCGACCAAATTTCAATTTTAAAACCTCTGGATTCCTTGGATGTTTACTGTGGACTGCACTCTTTGGACTGAAGGATATTCGTGTCTAACTCTAATTTGTTGTTGCTGTGGGAAATCGAGAATGGCTGGCAATTTATTTGTGACAACAATGCATTAATGAGTGTCAGTCAACAAATCATAATTCAGACTGAATGACGTACTGAGGGGTTAGATAAAAAGAAATCGCATTGCAGTCAGGAAGGGATTTTTTAAAGGACACAGATGGAAGAGATATCGATATGTGAAACACGGATCTTTTGAAAATATTTTTTTCAAGGGCTATAAACAAACGTGGATTTTTTAAAAATATTTTTTCAAGGCTCATCTATAAACGTGGATTTTTTAAAAATATTTTTTCAATGGCCACCATTAAACGTGGATTTTTTAAAAATATTTTTTCAGGGGTCACCATAAAACTTTGATTTTTTAGAAATATTTTTTCAGGGGTCACCCTAAAACGGGGATTTTTTTAAAATATTTTTTCAAGGTTTATCCATAAACGTGGATTTTTTCATATTAATCTTTCAAGGCTTATCCATAAACGTGGATTTTTTAAAAATATTTTTTCAGGGGTCACCATAAAACTTTGATTTTTTAGAAATATTTTTTCAGGGGTCACCCTAAAACGGGGATTTTTTTAAAATATTTTTTCAAGGTTTATCCATAAACGTGGATTTTTTCATATTAATTTTTCAAGGCTTATCCATAAACGTGGATTTTTTAAAATTAATTTTTCAAGGCTTATCCATAAACGTGGATTTTCTTAAATTAATTTTTCAAGGTTTATCCATAAACGTGGATTTTTTCATATTAATTTTTCAAGGCTTATCCATAAACGTGGCTTTTTTAAAATTAATTTTTCAAGGCTTATCCATAAACGTGGATTTTCTTAAATTAATTTTTCAAGGTTTATCCATAAACGTGGATTTTTTAAAATTAATTTTTCAAGGCTTATCCATAAACGTGGATTTTTTAAAATTAATTTTTCAAGGCTTATCCATAAACGTGGATTTTTAAAATTAATTTTTCAAGGCTTATCCATAAACGTGGATTTTTTAAAATTAATTTTTCAAGGCTTATCCATAAACGTGGATTTTTTAAAATTAATTTTTCAAGGCTTATCCATAAACGTGGATTTTTTAAAATTAATTTTTCAAGGCTTATCCATAAACGTGGCTTTTTAAAATTAATTTTTCAAGGCTTATCCATAAACGTGGATTTTCTTAAATTAATTTTTCAAGGTTTATCCATAAACGTGGATTTTTTAAAATTAATTTTTCAAGGCTTATCCATAAACGTGGATTTTTTAAAATTAATTTTTCAAGGCTTATCCATAAACGTGGATTTTTTAAAATTAATTTTTCAAGGCTTATCCATAAACGTGGATTTTTTAAAATTAATTTTTCAAGGCTTATCCATAAACGTGGATTTTTTAAAATTAATTTTTCAAGGCTTATCCATAAACGTGGATTTTTTAAAATTAATTTTTCAAGGCTTATCCATAAACGTGGATTTTTTAAAATTAATTTTTCAAGGCTTATCCATAAACGTGGCTTTTTTAAAATTAATTTTTCAAGGCTTATCCATAAACGTGGATTTTCTTAAATTAATTTTTCAAGGTTTATCCATAAACGTGGATTTTTTAAAATTAATTTTTCAAGGCTTATCCATAAACGTGGATTTTTAAAATTAATTTTTCAAGGCTTATCCATAAACGTGGATTTTTTAAAATTAATTTTTCAAGGCTTATCCATAAACGTGGATTTTTTAAAATTAATTTTTCAAGGCTTATCCATAAACGTGGATTTTTTAAAATTAATTTTTCAAGGCTTATCCATAAACGTGGATTTTTTAAAATTAATTTTTCAAGGCTTATCCATAAACGTGGATTTTTTAAAATTAATTTTTCAAGGCTTATCCATAAACGTGGATTTTTTAAAATTAATTTTTCAAGGCTTATCCATAAACGTGGATTTTTTAAAATTAATTTTTCAAGGCTTATCCATAAACGTGGATTTTTTAAAATTAATTTTTCAAGGCTTATCCATAAACGTGGATTTTTTAAAATTAATTTTTCAAGGCTTATCCATAAACGTGGATTTTTTAAAATTAATTTTTCAAGGCTTATCCATAAACGTGGATTTTTTTAAAATTAATTTTTCAAGGCTTATCCATAAACGTGGATTTTTTAAAATTAATTTTTCAAGGCTTATCCATAAACGTGGATTTTTTAAAATTAATTTTTCAAGGCTTATCCATAAACGTGGATTTTTTAAAATTAATTTTTCAAGGCTTATCCGTAAACGTGGATTTTTTAAAATTAATTTTTCAAGGCTTATCCATAAACGTGGATTTTTTAAAATTAATTTTTCAAGGCTTATCCATAAACGTGGATTTTTTACAATTAATTTTTCAAGGTTTATCCATAAACGTGGATTTTTTAAAATTAATTTTTCAAGGTTTATCCAAAAACGTGGATTTTTTAAAATTAATTTTTCAAGACTTATCCATAAACGTGGATTTTTTAAAATTAATTTTTCAAGACTTATCCATAAACGTTGATTTTTTAAAATTAATTTTTAAAGGCTTATCCATAAACGTGGATTTTTTAAAATTAATTTTTTAAAATTAATTTTTCAAGGCTTATCCATAAACGTGGATTTTTTAAAATTAATTTTTCAAGGCTTATCCATAAACGTGGATTTTTTAAAATTAATTTTTCAATGCTTATCCATAAACGTGGATTTTTTAAAATAAAATTTTTCAAGGCTTATCCATAAACGTGGATTTTTTAAAATTAATTTTTCAAGGCTTATCCATAAACGTGGATTTTTTAAAAATATTTTTTCAAGGCTCATCCATAAACGTGGATTTTTAAAATATTTTTTCAAGGCTCATCCATAAACGTGGATTTTTTAAAATTAATTTTTCAAGGCTTATCCATAAACGTGGATCTTTTTAAAATAAATTTTTCAAGGCTTATCCATAAACGTGGATTTTTTAAAATTAATTTTTCAAGGCTCATCCATAAACGTGGATTTTTTAAAAATATTTTTTCAAGGCTCATCCATAAACGTGGATTTTTTAAAAATATGTTTTCAAGGCTCATCCATAAACGTGGATTTTTTAAAAATATTTTTTCAAGGCTCATCCATAAACGTGGATTTTTTAAAATTAATTTTTCAAGGCTCATCCATAAACGTGGATTTTTTAAAAATATTTTTCAAGGCTCATCCATAAACGTGGATTTTTTAAAAATATTTTTTCAAGGCTCATCCATAAACGTGGATTTTTTAAAAATATTTTTTCAAGGCTCATCCATAAACGTGGATTTTTTAAAAATATTTTTTCAAGGCTCATCCATAAACGTGGATTTTTTAAAATATTTTTTCAAGGCTCATCCATAAACGTGGATTTTTTAAAAATATTTTTTCAAGGCTCATCCATAAACGTGGATTTTTTAAAAATATTTTTTCAAGGCTCATCCATAAACGTGGATTTTTTAAAAATATTTTTTCAAGGCTCATCCATAAACGTGGATTTTTTTAAATATTTTTTCAGTGGTCACCCTGAAACGTGGATTTTTTAAAAATATTTTTTCAGGGGTCACCCTGAAACCTGGATTTTTTAAAAATATTTTTTTAGGAGTCACCCTGAAACGTGGATTTTTTAAAAATATATTTTTCAGGGGTCGATCTGAAACGCGGATTATTTAAAAATATCTTCTCAAGGCTCATACATAAACGTGGATTTTTTAAAAATATTTTCTCAAGGCTTATCCATAAACGTGGATTTTTTAAAAATATTTTTTCAAGGCCTAACTATAAACGTGGATTTTTTAAAAATATTTTTTCAAGGCCTATCTATAAACGTGGATTTTTTAAAATTATTTTTTCAGGGGTGACCCTGAAACATGTATTTTTTAAAAATATTTTTTCAAGGCCTAACTATAAACGTGGATTTTTTAAAAATATTTTTTCAAGGCCTATCTATAAACGTGGATTTTTTAAAATTATTTTTTCAGGGGTGACCCTGAAACATGTATTTTTTAAAATTATTTTTTCAGGGGTGACCCTGAAACATGTATTTTTTAAAAATATTTTTCTAGGGGTGACCCTGAAACATGTATTTTTTAAAAATATTTTTCCAGGGGTCTTCCTGAAACGTGGATTTTTTAAAAGTTTTTTATTTTTTATTTATTTTCATTATTTTCTTAAAAATAATTCCTGTAACACTGCTCGTCGTAGTTTAAACTACCCGTCACTTTGACACATCCGAATGCACTGTAGAACGATTCCATACTCCCTGCAATGATTCTTAAGTTCTTAATGTTATTCTCTCGCAATTCCTGGGCCTCGGAATTGCCATGGACACAAAACGATTGGGCCAAATTTAAGAAAAATATTTGTCTCCAAGTCGGGTCGGTGAAATTCCACTTCGAGTGCAATAAATGATAATGGACATAGGTGTCGTAGGCCAGGGCAGCAGCTGCAACATGTCGGCCACAATCACTGTCGTCCTCGACGATGAACAGTAGACGATCATTGGAGTGAATAATGTAGCCTTCATTTTCTATATTCGGCAGTTGAAGGGCTAAATGAAATCCCAGGTAGGATAATTTAAATAGCGGATCGTGTTACTTGTAAAATATTGGTGGTTGGAGCATCACCATAGGAATTCCCAGTACCCGATTCTCATTGTCAAACAGGTGAGTGGTTGGATATGAGAATCCGTTCACTGACATTGGCTCTCAAACATGATTAGTAATAAATGTGGGTCTTATTGAAGAAATCCGTATGCAATGTGTCGTTCTGAAGATTTTCCATTACAGCCATCAGCTTCTCATTGAATTGTTTGTCGAGCAGCTGTTCGCAGTTGAGCTCGGCATGTGGCCAGTTGTTACAGGCATAGCCATAAAAATCCATACAGGGATCCACGGTTTCATCAATTGATGTTTTGATTTGTTCCAATAGCTGGTAGGTGGGGCTCTTGGCAGTTGAAAAAATATTTAAAAAAATCCACATTTCATGGTGGTCCTTGAAAAGATATTTTTAAAAAATCCACGGTTCAGGGTGGCCCTTGAAAAAATATTTTTTTTTTTTTAAAATTCACGTTTCAGGGTGGCCCTTGAAAAAATATTTTTAAAAAATCCACATTTCATGGTGGCCCTTGAAAAAATATTTTTAAAAAATCCACATTTCATGGTGGCCCTTGAAAAAATATTTTTAGAAAATCCAGGTTTATTGGTGGACCTTGAAAAAAATATTTTAAAAAAATCCACGTTTATTGGTAAGTATTTTTAAAAAAGCATTTTTAAAAAATCCACATTTCAAGATGACCCATGAAAAAATATTTTTAAAAAATTCACGTTTCAAGGTAACCCTTGAAAAAATATTTGTAAAAAATCCACGTTTCAAGATAACCCTTGAAAAAATATTTTTAAAAAATCCACGTTTGCTAATAACCCTTGAAAAAATATTTGTAAAAAATCCACGTTTCAAGATAACCCTTGAAAAAATATTTTTAAAAAATCCACGTTTGCTAATAACCCTTGAAAAAATATTTGTAAAAAATCCACGTTTCAAGATAACCCTTGAAAAAATATTTTTAAAAAATCCACGTTTGCTAATTACCCTTGAAAAAATATTTTTAAAAAATCCACGTTTGCTAATAACCCTAGAAAAAATATTTTTAAAATTCCACGTTTCAAGATAATCCTTGAAAAAATATTTTTAAAAAATCCACGTTTGCTAATAACCCTTGAAAAACTATTTTTAAAAAATCCACGTTTGCTAATAACCCTTGAAAAAATATTTTTAAAAAATCCACGTTCATTAATAAACCTTGAAAAAATATTTTTAAAAAATCCACGTTTGCTAATAACCCTTGAAAAACTATTTTTAAAAAATCCACGTTTGCTAATAACCCTTGAAAAAATATTTTTAAAAAATCCACGTTCATTAATAAACCTTGAAAAAATATTTTTAAAAAATCCACGTTCATGAATAAACCTTGAAAAAAATATTTTTAAAAAATCCACGTTCATAATAAACCTTGAAAAAATATTTTTAAAAAGTCCACGTTTCAAGACAAGCCTTGAAAAAATATTTTTAAAAAATCCAGGTTTCAAGATTACCCTTGAAAAAATATTTTTAGAAAATCCACGTTTATTGGTAAATATTTTTAAAAAAGCATTTTTAAAAAATCCACATTTCAAGATGACCCATGAAAAAATAATTTTAAAAAATTCACGTTTCAAGGTAACCCTTGAAAAAACATTTTGAAAAAATCCACGTTTCAAGATAACCCTTGAAAAAATATTTTTAAAAAATCCACGTTTGCTAATAACCCTTGAAAAAATATTTTTAAAAAATCCACATTTGCTAATAACCCTTGAAAAACTATTTTTAAAAAATCCACGTTTCAAGACAAGCCTTGAAATAATATTTTTAAAAAATCCACGTTTCATGATAACCCCTGAAAAAATATTTTTAAAAAATCCAGGTTTCAAGATTACCCTTGAAAAAATATTTTTAGAAAATCCACGTTTATTGGTAAATATTTTTAAAAAAGCATTTTCAAAAAATCCACTTTTTAAGATGACCCTTGAAAAAATATTTTTAAAAAATCCACGTTTGCTAATAACCCTTGAAAAACTATTTTTAAAAAATCCACGTTTCAAGATAACCCTTGGAAAAATATTTTTAAAAAATCCACGTTTCAAGATAACCCTTGAAAATATATTTTTAAAAAATCCACGTTCATTAATAAACCTTGAAAAAAATAATATTAAAAAATCCACGTTTATTGATGTCCCTTGAAAAAAATTTTTTAAAAAATCCACGTTTCAAGATAACCCTTGAAAAATTATTTTTAAAAAATCCACGTTTGCTAATAACCCTTGAAAAACTATTTTTAAAAAATCCACGTTTGCTAATAACCCTTGAAAAACTATTTTTAAAAAATCCACGTTTGCTAATAACCCTTGAAAAACTATTTTTAAAAAATCCACGTTTGCTAATAACCTTTGAAAAAATATTTTTAAAAAATCCACGTTTCAAGACAAGCCTTGAAAAAATATTTTTAAAAAATCCAGGTTTCAAGATTACCCTTGAAAAAATATTTTTAAAAAATCCACGTTCATTAATAAACCTTGAAAAAATATTTTTAAAAAATCCACGTTGAAAAAATATTCTTCAAAAATCCACGTTTTGGTTAGGCCTTGAAAAAATATTTAAAAAAAATCCACGTCTATTGTTAGGCCATGAAAAAGTATTTTTAAAAAATTCACGTTTGTTTAAAGCCCTTCAAAAAATATTTTTTCAAGGCTCATCCATAAACTTGAATTTTTTAAAAATATTTCCTCAAGAATCATCCATAAACGTGGATTTTTTAAAAAATATTTTTTTCAAGGCCTATCTATAAATGTGTATTTTAAAAAAATATTTTTTTCAATACTTATCCGTAAACGTGGATTTTTTAGAAATATTTTTTCAAGGCTCATCCATAAACTTGAATTTTTTAAAAATATTTCCTCAAGACTCACCCATAAACGTGGATTTTTTAAAATTAATTTTTCAAGGCTTATCCATAAACGTGGATTTTTTAAAATTAATTTTTCAAGGCTCATCCATAAACGTGGATTTTTTAAAAATATTTCCTCAAGTCTCATCCATAAACGTGTATTTTTTAAAAAATATTTTTTTTCAAGGCTTATCTATAAATGTGTATTTTTTAAAAATATTTTTTCAAGGCTCATCCATAAACGTGGATTTTTTAAAAATATTTTTTCAAGGCTCATCCATAAACGTGGATTTTTTAAAAATATTTTTTCAAGGCTCATCCATAAACGTGGATTTTTTAAAATATTTTTCAAGGCTCATCCATAAACGTGGATTTTTTAAAAATATTTTTTCAAGGCTCATCCATAAACGTGGATTTTTTAAAAATATTTTTTCAAGGCTCATCCATAAACGTGGATTTTTTAAAAATATTTTTTCAAGGCTCATCCATACGTGGATTTTTTAAAAATATTTTTTCAAGGCTCATCCAAAAACGTGGATTTTTTTAAAATATTTTTTCAAGGCTCATCCATAAATGTGGATTTTTTAAAAATATTTTTTCAAGGCTCATCCATAAACGTGGATTTTTTAAAAATATTTTTTCAAGGCTCATCCATAAACGTGGACTTTTTAAAAATATTTTTTCAAGGCTCATCCATAAACGTGGATTTTTTAAAAATATTTTTTCAAGGCTCATCCATAACGTGGATTTTTTAAAAATATTTTTTCAAGGCTCATCCATAAACGTGGACTTTTTAAAAATATTTTTTCAAGGCTCATCCATAAACGTGGACTTTTTAAAAATATTTTTTCAAGGCTCATCCATAAACGTGGATTTTTTAAAAATATTTTTCAAGGCTCATCCATAAACGTGGATTTTTTAAAAATATTTTTTCAAGGGTTTTCTTGAAACGTGGATTTTTTAAAAATATTTTCTCAAGGCTCATCCATAAACGTGGATTTTTTAAAAATATATTTTCAAGGGTTTTCTTGAAACGTGGATTTTTTAAAAATATTTTTTCAAGGCTCATCCATAAACGTGGATTTTTTAAAAATATATTTTCAAGGGTTTTCTTGAAACGTGGATTTTTTAAAAATATTTTTTCAAGGCTCATCCATAAACGTGGATTTTTTAAAAATATTTTTTCAAGGGTTTTCTTGAAACGTGGATTTTTTAAAAATATTTTTTCATGGGTTATCTTGAAACGTGGATTTTTTAAAAATATTTTTTCATAGGTTATCTTGAAACGTTGATTTAAAAAAAATTTTCAAGGGTTATCTTGAAACATGGATTTTCAAAAATATTTTTCAAGGGTTATCTTGAAACGTGGATTTTTAAAAATATTTTTTCAAGGGGTATTAATGAACGTAAATTTTTTAAAAACTATTTTTGCAAGGGTTATCTTGAAACATGGATCTTTAAAAAATATTTTTTTTTAAGGCTCATCCATAAACTTGGAATTTTTAAATATTTTTTTCAAGGCTCATCCATAAACTTGGGTTTTTTTTTTAAATTACTTTTTCAAGGCTCATCCATAAATTTGGGATTTTTTTAAATTATTTTTTCAAGGCTCATCCATAAATTTGGATTTTTTAAAATATTTTTTGACTGTACAATTTTTTATTAGACATCCTTATCGCCTATTTTAATTGACGTTGATTGTTCAATAATTTTCGGATACCCATAAATTCAAATTGTACCACATTAAGTACAATTTGGTACTTTTCGTGCTCATAACTTCAAATCTCGAAAACGTCCACCATATCCCAATCGTATGCTTCGCCAGAAATGTTAATATCAAATTTCAGGATCCCAGCTCCATTCGTTTCTCAAAATTAAAATTGTTCAAAATTTAGTACCATTTAGTACTTTTCGTATAAATGTGTACACATTTCTCCTCAACCTTCCCATTCCAAATTTCAAGTTTTTAGCTCTTACCGTTCACATGATACGAAATGGTGCCAAATATAGTACATTTTAGTACTTTTCGTACACGTATAGTGCAAACTCCCATTATACACACTATCCATCCATCAGTGACCCTCATAGCAAATTTTAGAGTTCTAGCTCTACTGCTTCCTCAAAATACAAGAGGGTACGATATTTAGTACCTTTTAATACATTTCGTACCGTTCAAAAAAGTACTACTAGACCGACTGAAAATATAGTTTTCTATTGAATTTTACTTTTTTTCACATTTTTTTAGATATTGTCCCGTAAAATAAGTTCTGCTTTCGAATACTGCTTTACAATGATCCGTTTGGCTTGTAAACTTTGCCGCTTCAAATTCGAACGATTGGCAGAGCGTAAGCTATGAGCGCCCCGCTTGGGGACATCAAAGAAGAAAAAATACACAATTTCCGTGATGCCAATCAGAGAGCAGCCAAAGAAGAGACCGGCCAGACCGCCAAATGAAGCTGGAAATGAAATGAAATTCTTAAAAACCCCTTCCTGCCCTCCTCATGAATCCAACTTACCAATCAAATCCACAAACGGATACACAGCCGATGTCTCATACACCTGCATTGTGTGCTGACGAAAGTAGGCGGCCATTTCGATTCGGGTGTTATTCAAATCGTCACTGCCGTTCGGAATGTGTTGTGTAAAGAAATCGGGAAAATATTCCAAAGACATGCAATTGAAATGACAGGGGCAGTGCATGCCGTGGCCCGTTT